TCTCTCTCTCTCTCTCTCTCTCTCTCTCTCTCTCTCTCTCTCTCTCTCTCTCTCTCTCTCTCTCTCTCTCTCTCACACACACACACACACTCTCTGGTTTCTTCTGATTGATCGATAATTCGGACACAGACGTCGACCTTAACGCACGTGCGCGGAGGAGGTCGGTATTTCGTAATCAGTTAATCAACCAACCAATCAATCAATAAGTGATGGCTCATCTTTCTTCAACCTCTCCAGAATTCGAGAGTCCAGCTAGAGGTCCATCTCTCTCACCTCCACAGCCTAGAGCTACTCCTACCTGTCCCTTCATCTCCTCCATAGCCATGTAGGTATTCTCCTTCACTCCCAGCTCCAACATCAACCTCAAAGAGCTTCCTCAAGTTCTCCCTCCAGACGGAGCAGCACCATGACTGCCGGGTCATTCAGTTTAACACATGTTGATTGCCCCGACCGTACCTATTGGCCGAGCATTGGTAGGATGTGCCCCCCCTCAGTGTGTTCCTCCTTTCGGCGGGAACACCATTTCTGAGTGATATCTACGTACAGGCAGGCATACATTCAGCCCTTGGACCAATAGTATAGTATTACCTACCGGGCAGCCACCCGCATCCTAACCCTCCAGGCCCAACCAACTTCATGGAAAATCCCTACCTGCGCCTAGCAACATCTACGTACGTCCCTGGCCGCTGCAGTATCCCAATATATCCCTTCTGCTAAATTTCCGTCCTGACCTTGCTCCTGCCCCTGTCACCTACCCCTGGCCACAGACACACACCATGGCCAACAGAGATGGTGGACATTCTGTGGGAGCATCTTGGGCCCGACTTAGGCCTGGACCCCATTGACTTACCGTGAGGGCATGGGTGCTCAGCCGTAGTTTGTTTGTTGATGTGGTTGGGGAAGGGTTTGGCAGTGATTATGGTGTGTTTACGTTTTGTCATGCTCACAGCCAGGGCTGCGTTTTATGCCCCTGAGTCCTTCAATGTTCGCAGCCCGTAAGGGTTGCGTTTTCCCCCCTAGACATTTCAATGTCATTGAACTTTCAACGTTGGTCGTCCTTTTGGTGGGCATTTTGAGGTTTGGGGGGCTTGCAAGGGGCAGGACCACGTAGAACCGGTAGCTGCCCGTAGGAGGCCGAGGAGGCCGCGGCCCTTGAGTTTTTAACATTTCGACTCGAAATGGTGCAGGTCTACTTTTCTCGAATAGCAGAGTATTTTGAGAAGAACACGTGCATGTTGTATTTGAATACAACTTGTACACTTTCTATTCGAATTTCAAAAAGAAAAACTCTTGTATTCCAATAACATTACCTTTTTTTTTAAGGTCA